AGGAGGGAGAGTTCCTCCTGCTTGTTACCCATACTATGAGCTTAGAGCGGTAGTGACTACAACACACATACACCATTTGGTAAGGGGAGTGGGCAAGGGTGGTAAATCTTAGACCAGGTTCTGCCTTTGTTAAATCAGTCTGTGTGTGCCGAACTTCTGTTCTGTTATGTGTATAGACCAATTTTGTGTGCTGAACTTCTGTTGCGAGTATAGACCGGCTTCTGATCACTATACCAGTAGAAGTGTAATGCCCATACCTGGCCAAAGAGTTTGGAGTAAAAGCTTATGTATGCTATAAGTTTGTAGTATAGTTGAATTGATACATGCATTGTTTCTGATTTATAGGTGTAATGGTATAACAGTCCTGCTGTTGAGCAGGTCTGTTGTACGATTGTCAGGGTAGGGGCCCTCTACATGTGCAAGTAAAGGTGTGATGGGGTCTAATGCACAGGGACCTACTCAAATCAAGATAGCACAGATTTCATGGAAATTGTGAAATCAGGAGATCTCTGTGAAATCCAGGGTGAAAAAAAAAATTTACTAAAATTAAATGCTGGCTTCCCAGTGGGAGTCGGCAGTCCTTCTGGCCATGTAGCCCACCCAGGGGAAGGGCATAGAGAGGCCACGAGAATGAAGGCGAGCAGGCAAGGTAGCTACTTCCCTTCGCCATTGATTGCCTGAGAGGGCTAGCTGTCATGCAGCCCTGCCCCTCCACCAATCAGCGGTGAGGCACGTGGCCACACAACAGACAGCCTTCACCAATTGGAGGCATGGGGGTGGGGGGCAGCTGCTATAAACCTTTGAAAATGGCAGCTGGCCCCGTAATCTACCCGTGATATTGGCTGGCTTCCTCCTCGAGTTGGGGAGAGCCCTACTAAGGTGTGATCCATACAATTGTGTCTCCTGCCATGCGACGTGTATGGCAGGAAGTGTGATTGTGGGATCTTGCATTAGATCCCATTGCGCCTTATTGCCAGTGCAGAGGGAACCCAGTCCCAGGCTGCTGCCCGAAGATTTTCTGTAAATAAAAACCTGGAAACTAACCAGGCGTTAGGAATTATGTTTAGGCCAGGTGCATCTTAAGGATCATTGAATTCAAGACTGTATAAGGCTCAGGTGTTTATGTTTGCTCAAAGTGTATTTTGACTTCCTCATTGTAACTCTCCCTCCCCTCCCCCCCCCCAATCAATAAAGGTGTCAGGTTACAGCTTGCCTTGGTGTGTTACTGTGGTGGGAGAGAGAGAGAAGTGGCTTTCTGCCTCTTTGCTTGGTCAGTGAAGTTTTGTCTTTTTATTTTCCCTTGGTTCTACCTGATGCTATCTTGGGATGCTTCGGGCTGAAAGAAGCACCCAGAAATATTACCGTGGACAAAGTACCCCCAAGGTTCACAGGGTCTGTGTGCCTCAGGCTGCATAGAGCCCTATCAGAGACCAGTGCCTGGCTGGTGGTAGCATTACCCTAGGCTTGTGGGTGTTCTCCAGGAAGCAAGACAACTGGCTGTAGTCTCCAGGATGCAAGGCAGCCAGCTGCAATCCCCAGGGGAGACTCCTGAAGCATGGTTTTGGGCGTGGCATAGTGAGGCAGGTGGCTCTGTGTAGTAGTACCTCCTACTGTGTACGCCACAGTGCACACATGTACCTGGGACTCCCAGCTGCAGGGGAGACCCTGCTACACACAAATTAAAGCTCAGTGGCAACCAGGTGTAAAGTTGGTACACATTTTCAAGTCTAACTTTAGCTGGTTGGAGGTTTTTATTGTGTGATAAGTACTTTGCATGTGTAGCTGATCTCCCAGTAATTGCACAATACCTTTAACATGTAGAGCAGGGCCTAGAACCACAGAGTGGGGCCACTAACTGAATCTAAATTGGTCAGCTCTTTTGTTCCCTATGGGACAGGACTGAACAGATTGGGATTGGGTAATGTTGCTAGGTCAGCATGGGTTAGCAACATTTAGCCAATACTGGTGTGCTTGTTGCCAAGCATCTAAAGAATAATAGTGAAGTGCTAGAACTTGATAAAACAGTGTAGGGTAGGGGAAGGAGAATAATTTGTTAGGTTCTGTATTGTTGGTGTATTCCAGATTAGTACAGAAATCCCAGGACTTCTGTATGTACATGTGATTAAGAATAACATTGAAAATTGCCCAGAATCCTGTGGTCAGTACTACTGAGGCATCTGGGATAGCTGACCAGATGGTCCTAGAATGCACTGCTGCAAATACTGGGCGCCTATACACATGCAGCAAGGCTACTCTGACACTCTGTAACTACTCAATTGAGTCTGCTGGATCATGGTAACTACCATTTCATGTATTCGCCTCCCCATGCTTAAAAATGGCAGTGGAAGCACTTTTTAAAGCTAAAGCACCTCTGCTCCCATTTTTCAGTGTGGGAATGCTGATACATGAGATGCTCCAGGCACTTTAATAAGAGCATCTAATTAAAGTGCTCCCTGCCCCTCATAGAGCACATGTATAAATGCCCACTGTGTGTACCTTGGTAGTGTGGAAGGGTGAGCACAACTGAAGCATGAATGTACCTAAAATGTCTAGTTGAATATACCGGGCTACATCACTCTAGAGATATCTGGTTCACTGATATACATTTCTGTCACTGTTGGAGACCAGAATCTTGGGCTTGATGAACCATTGATCTGACTCAGTATGTTGTTATAGTTAGTTTACGTTCTTATGTTATTAACTGAAACCTTCTCTCTTAGATACATCAAAGCCCAGATATATGGGACATGTTCCTGTCTGTACTATAAATGGGCCTCAAGGCCAGGTGTATGCTATAGACTTCCGCCATGTTGGTCAGGGGTGTGAAGAGACATGTTTCCTGACATCTTTGCTGGCAGCAGCTGCTGGCGTAGATATGTTATACTGGCAATATATTATGCCCACACTAGGCGTACTTTCCAGGTATAGTATATATTGATGCAACTATACCGCTACAGGACTGGGCACTTAGATTTCTTCTGATCATTTGACATGTTGTCAAATATATAATTGAATATTGTAAAAGAACCTTGAAGTAGATGGGGTTGTACAAACAAAAAACGGTCCTTTGCCATTAGTGTTTTCCATTGAGGTACTTTTTTACTCTATACTAGCAGAAGAATTCTTTTTATTACTTTTTGCCTGTATAAGCACCGTTCCCATTCAATATTCCTATCGAGTCCATCTCCCACTTTGCAATTAGTGATGTTAAAATACCCACTCCTGCTGTATATAAGTGTATTAGGACAAATTATGTGAATTCCTAGGTAGTTAACGTAATTTCAATAACAAGGACCTGGTCACAAAGCAGTGGGAGCGATCATTTTGTAATGATATTACTATAAAGTTTCACCAGGTCTCAGGGTTTTAATGACCAGTGGCTGTAACAAATTCTAATAAATTAAAAAAATGTGGTGTTATCCCTGAGCAGGACAGGGCAGATGCAGTGCTGAATTAATTTTGGTTCTGTTGTTTTTGTTGCAATGGTTGTACTAGGAGAAGTTTTTTAAGACTTGCATTGACTTTGTAATTGTTTTCTTTGTTATAGACCAATAAAATTAAATGGGTCCAGTAACTGGAATGACTCCAGATAAGAAAGCTGAAACACCAGGAGCAGGAAAAGCTGCAGGATTAAGGCAGATTTACAGAATGGGAAGCTTGCCTGAAGCAGTTGATGCTGCTCCACCAAAGGCCACTTTAGTGGACAGCGAATCAGCAGATGATGAGCTCACAAACTTGAACTGGCTGCATGAAAGTACTAATCTTCTAACAAACTTCAGCCTTGGAAGCGAGGGTCTTCCAATGGTTAGCCCTTTGTATGACATTGAGGGTGATAATGTGCCATCTTTTTCACCATCTTGCTACCAGAACATGGAAAAAAAATCAGCCACTTCCAAACCCCCTTATTCCTTTAGTCTTCTCATTTACATGGCTATTGAACATTCTCCTAATAAAAGCTTGCCAGTGAAAGAAATCTACAGTTGGATTCTGGAACGCTTCCCTTATTTTGCTACAGCACCCACGGGGTGGAAGAACTCGGTCCGACACAATCTTTCCCTGAACAAATGTTTCCGGAAGGTGGAGAGAAGCCATGGCAAGGTGAGATTCTTTTGTTGGTGGGAAATGTTTAACAAATATGAACTGCTTTGTCAGTTGGTTTTTATTTAAGTACGTTCTTTTTTAATGCACAGTACTACACAGATATTTTCATTTGTTGGAATCTTAGACTTAACGGCATTTTCTTGGCAACGAAAGATGGTTGCTTTGCAACAGAAGGTAGCTTGAAATGCCACTTCTGATAGGTGCTGGTGGGTTTTATTCCATATTATATTTGTATTTAGCATTATTATAAGTAGAGTTGGCAGTGGCACATGGTTTGTATGCACAAGGTCTATAGGGATTTGAGTGGCTCAGTTTTCTCAAAATGGCATCCTGCATCCCAGGGGTATAGGAGCCTGCTCCCTCCTGCACTCTCTTTTCCACTCTGTCTCATGCAAGTACCATGGAGGAAACTGATCAACCCACCTGACTGATGCACAAGAGGAAGGAACAGAAGGAGAAACTGAGGTAGGCTAGGGAGGGGAGAGAGGGATGCTAGAAGTAAGTTTTAGAGGCTGGTGGGACAGAAGCCAGGTGAGTGTAAAAGCAGAAATGGAAAAATACAAGTAAAAAGAGTCTATAAGCACATCTTTCTCCAGAACCTGGAATACAATCTAAGGCCCCCCTGCTAGGTGTGCAGGTAAAGGCATTTTAGGATCTGATATTCAGCACAGTTGTGCCTCCTGCCATGTAAAATGTGTGCGACAGGAGCTGTGTTTGTGGGAACCAGCATCAGAACCCATCACTCCTTATTGTTGGTGCAGACAGAGCCTCTGCTGCACCAGCAGTTAGCGTGCTTCCATGGCTGGAAGGCTGCTGCTGATGGGGCTTCCAGCCTCAGGGGCACACCATGTGCCCCCAAGACTGGGAGCCCAGTTAGCTGAGGATTGTGACTCGTATCTATCACGCCATTAATTGAACATGTGGCCAGGTGCTCCCCTGTAGCTGGGAGCCCTGTCAGCTGATGGGGCTGCCAGCTGTAGGGATTCAACCTGTTCTTCTGTGGCAGGGAGCCCCATCAACTGAGGTTCCCAGCTGCGAGGGTACTTGAGTGTATAGCTAATCTGGCCTCAGAACTAAGGGGTGTACCATGTGCCTCCATAGCTGGAAGCTGCAGCTGACTATGCTCACAGCTGCAGAAGCACATGGTGCACCCTTGCAGCTGGGAGCCCCATCAGCTGACAAAGCTCCTGGTCGCAGGGGAGCACCTGGCCACATGATTAATGGCATGATAGGAAGGAGCCACAAAGTTATTCCACACTTTTTGTGGAGTAACTGTGGCTTATTTCTCTTTTTATAATGCCATTGATTGATTGAACACATGTCTGGGTCACACTTAACCAGTTAATCAAATCTTAAGTTGTAGTGTGTGTGGCAGGGGCCTGAGATTTCTTAGTTTTAATGCTTTTCTTCTTCTAGTTGGGCCTAACTGTCCTCTCTTGCTTTAAGTTACTCTGTTAGACCTATAGTATGGAGTGGATTTAAAAAGTCTGAACCCTGGTAATTACTTCAGTTGGGCATCATTGTGGTGTCATGAGCTGAGATTTCTAGGTCTGTCTCCTTGTTTACTCAAGTTTTTATCCAGTGTGATATTCAGAAGCCTTTAACTTTGAGGCCTCATCCTTTGTGTTCCTGTATATCCCCTCTCATTTGCTACATGCCTTCCAGTTTTTGCACTTATACTGGTAAAAGTGATCATAATCAGTGATCAGAACCAGTCTGAACCCATAACAGAACAGAAGGTTGGCATGCGTAGACTGCCTTAATGGCAGAACCTGGTGTAAGATGGGCAACCAGTGTGCACTCCCTTCTCCTCCCTGCCCCCCATACCAGCAAAAGGTGAATGTGTGTTCTGTTTACTACCGACCCAGACAACACTGCGTACAGAAAACCATATAACTTAGATTGATCCCACCTCATACTTTGTGAATGTCTGTACCTAGCCTTAGTGACTCTGCAACTTTGATTCATTCTCTCATGTATTGTCCTGTGCCTTGAATGAATCAGAGGATTCTATGGGAAAACTAGGTCAAACTAAGATTGCTCAGGCCAGCTTCTGGTATTTCCTAGTACTGTTTGACTTAGCCCCTTGACTTTTTCTTTCCTTTTCAGTATGCATGTGTATATGCACATATGCACATGTGGACTTTTGGGTGGAGTTGTTTGTTTTCTGGAATATACTGCTATTATCCTTAAATTTGTCTTAGTTATTTAAATATTTATATCAGCTCCTTGTTCTTAGTGGTCTTCTTGAACTGTTACTTCAAGAAGAGGCTTTAGTATCTTGTATAAAACTATAGCTATTCAGACAGCTGAGTGCTATTTTCAGACACAAGTGAAAAGTAGGTTAACCTCTCTGACTTTCTTTTCTAATGATTTTCCTGATGATTCTGATCATTCTACCAGTTCCCTATAAATTGATTGATTGTTTTTAATAAAAACCCTAAATGAACACATTGTCTATGTAGAGATCAAGTGAATGCATACGTTGCCATTTATGCAAGACAAGTGTCACTCTAATGCATGAAACATTTCTTCCTTTCAGAAAAAAGTCTGTAAATCTAGATATTCATCCAGAAAAATGACCTTGTTCTCAGCCACATTACTAGTGACGTGTTCCACAGGAAGTCGGTTCTAAATGAAGAGAAGTAACCTCTATTTCCTCCTACACATTAGCCACATCATAACATTCATAATGTAGAAATCCATCCATCTAATTGTTACAGTATGGCATAATTAACAGCCTCTGCTTGAAAAGACCCTGGACCTTAAGTAGGAATGCTTTACACAAGGAAAAAGCTATACTGCACAAAGGAACGTAAACCTAATCAGATATTAATCGGATATAGTAGAGCAGATAATTTCATTAAAATTGTTAGTCCTTTGCTTATACAAACACTGCCTTTGCACAGAAAGAAAGAATAGAATTACAAAAAAAATCAATGTTTCCTTCCTGCTATGCCTCACTGTATTGTCATAGTTGCCACTGAGCCTGGCTGGAGTTTAGGAATAGCCCACATGTACAGAATCAGGTTATAGTCACACCATGTATACATGTCATATATTTCTCTTAGATATCACTCAAGCAGGCTGTGCATCCGTGGGGCACAGTGCTGCCTGATATTGCTGCATAGTGGAGGACTATCCAGAAAGCCAGTTAGTTTTGGCAAGGATGTCATGTACCTTTAAAGAAAAAAAAAAAAAGAGGGGTGGGGGTGGGCGCAGCATGCCAGTTTGCACCTTGAATGAATCATTGGAAACATTTCAAATGTAACAGCACAGTAATTTTAGCTTGAACATGTTGACTTTTTGTAGTAAACACACCTGGTAGGTAGGGAGATGTCTTTTTTTATGGGGGTAGGAGATGAATACCTATAGGTCACACTAAATGTTACAATTTGACATACTCTAAACAGAACTAGTGGTGACTAACAAAACAGTACTGTAGTTAGGATTCTGGATTGCTTGAATCTCATCTGTGATTGAAAACAGCTGAACTTCAGGAGACAATCTGGAAACTCTTTTGTTAATAGTTGCCTATCTAATGTGAACACCCTGGCATAAGGGCAGCAGGAAATACAAATGGTCTGATTCTTCTCTTATGCAAGGCTATATTAAAAGTAATTCTGTTGTCATTGTAGGAACACTGTAAGAGGAGAATTTTATAGATATGGTATTTCTGATTTGAAAGACTAAAAAATGTAGAAAAGATGCCAACATCCCCCAACAGAGAGAAGACGCAGCCATTGAAGAGGGGTTTTTTTGTTTTGTTAAATTTTGGTTTTAATTTAACATTCTGTAGAATACATAAGAGACGCAAAAGAGCTGTTGCTGTATTGGTACATTCTGGTTAAATCAGAGTCCTCCTTTCATGTCCCAAATCTTCCCAAATGATTCCTTTTCCTTCTTATGCATGTTTGGAGCCAGAGCAGACTTGTAGTTTTGGACTTGGGTGCAGGGTCATTATTTCTGGAGCCCTGTCTATAAATCTGTCTCTTAAGAGGCTCTAGCTGAGGACTGTAGTAGTGTGGTTGTTACAGATCTTCTGTTCTTCTTTGGACTTGATTTTTTTCCCTCTGGAAACAATATTCTCTCCAAGGGAACAAGAAGTTGTTTTGTCTTGGTCAGTGAACTTGGACACTTCCTGTCTTGCCTTCCATAACTGAAAATGATGCACTTTCTGAAACCCCCTGCAACTCAGCATAGAGTATTCAATGTGCCTTTTCTGGGCTTTCCATAGCAGGTTGGTTAAACGGGACCCATGGAGGAAAGCTAGATCCGTTCTGCCCCAGCCAGGAAGAAGCTTACCCTGTTTGCAGTCAGTACGTGGCCTGCCCTGAACCTACCTGTGGAGTTCAGAATAAGATCTCTGGCTTGGCTAGGCTCTCCCAGCAGTGTTTCAAACATTAGCAGCTCCTCTGTTGCCACTTCCTTAACTAGGACTGAAGAAAAAAGGGGCACTGCCAGTTTCTACTTGGGACAACGGGGTTTCTCAGGCCCAAGGGGAATCCTTTTCCAGCTAACCGAAAGGGCTGTCTTCCTCAAACATGGGGTGTTTGTTTGCTGTCATAGTTATAAGCTGGGTATGCCTTGTTTCATGTGTTCAACTGAAGTTCCAGCAGGCTAATCAGAGTGCTTCATAATCCATGGGCTACTGCCTGGTATTTTCCCCTTTAGAGAAGTGTTCCACATGTTCTCAAGGGGGTGGGATAAAGACTCCTCTTCTGCCTGTAAACGCAGACTTAATGGCCATATCCACATGAGCACACACATGTGTTTCCCCTGGGACAGATAGCAGCAGCACAACTATGTGCCACTGCTACTTGTCCACAGGGAATGCCTGTGCATGTGTGCTCTGGCACAGAGCACATTGCACTATGTGGGATAGCACCTGGGCTGGCCCCTGCAGCCTTACCTGGGGTCCTGGGGCCTCTTGGGGCTCCAGCAGCTGTGATCCAGCATGGCCAGCAGCCAGCGTGTGGCTTCAGCCAGCCAGGCTC